CAAAAGTCTCCTCTTTGCCTCCGGATGCAGCTGCGCCATGGGGCGCATCTCTGCGAATGACCGATCAAGCCGTGCAGGAGGCATACAGGGTGAAGATGATGCGCAAAGTGACTCAGCCACCACACTTCAGAGGGAGCTGCTGGAAAACCTAGTTGAGGATCCACCTCTCCACACCGCAACCACAAGCACATATAGTGGCGCTCCTCAAATTGGTCCACACCTTTGGTTGGGCCAACGATGGCTTGGGCAGCCACACCCCATCCGACATGCCAGAAGCATGAACTAAAGGGCTTGGGCCACCGGTCTAGAAACCCCATCTATAGCTGGCGAGAGATTGGGCCTGTGCCTGGGCTTGGGCCACTGGTCTAGAAACCCCATCGGCCCAACTCCTGGCACGCTACCCTTGCTCTAGGGAGATCCTACCTGCCGCATTATGCGGCAGAATGGCAGGGTTTCGCGCGGGTAGTCCTCTGCCTGGGCCAGCCCACCTACGTGCCGCTTCTTGCTTTCTGTCGCGTGAAAAACAATTCCGTGAGAGGCAGGATTCGGTCCTCAGACCTCACACTACACAGGCTACAAACCCACAAGCAGATAACCAATCCACAAGACATAATGTACGAGAAAAATAAGCGCAAAATTCAATAAGGACACTTAGCAGTTGTTGAGACTTGGAAAACATTTGTAAAACTTTTTTTTAATTGCAAACATTTTTTAAATGCCATTTTTTACATTCCAAAGTCTTTTTCTGAAAAGTAAACAATTTTTGCAAATCCATTTTTTGTAAAAACAGAATGAAAAAATGTGAACATTTGAAATTACTGAATATTTACTGAGATTATGAATATTTTATGATTTTGGAACAAAAATTTGAAACAAAACTATTTTATAAATTCAGTACAAAAAGTTAAGATATAAACAATTTTTTCAAAAATACGAACAAAATACGTATTGGTATGCTTTTTTGGAAATGTAAACAAATTTGAAACATTGGAACATTTTTTGAAGTTGCCAAAAAAAATGTTGAAACCGTGTACAATTTTTTAAGGATGAACATTTTTATGAAAAAATGTGAATACAATTTTGAAAACATGAACATTTTTTTAGTAAAATGCAAACATTTTTTAAATACCCCAAACATATTGTGAATTTGTAAATAAACTTTAAAAACATGAAAAACTTCGAAAACAAGAACGATTATTGAAATCCCAAACATTTTCTTAATCTGTAAACAAATTTAAAAAAATATGAATTTTTTTTAATTTGTGAACAAAATTTTAAAATGGGAAATGTTTTCTAAATTCTTGAACAATTTTTTGAAATTGTTAACAAATTTTAAAAATAAAATAGTTTCTCAAATGTTGAACAAATTTATCAAATTGTAAAAAATCGAAATTTTTGAACTTTTTTGACAATATGCTAACAACTTTTGAAATTCTAAACTTTTTTGAATTTTGAATATTTTTTCTATTTCCGAACAATAACTGAAAATAGGAACATTTTGTGAAATTTGGAACAAATTTTGGAAAATGTGATATTTTTTATAATTTCTAAACATATTTTGAAAAAGGAAAAAAGTGAAAAAAGTAAAAGAGGAAAGAAAAAAAAGAAAAGAAAAATAGAAACAGAAAAAGAAGCAAAAAAAGAATGAAGTGAAAATAAAAAACGAAGGAAAACCGAGAAAACCCGAAAGGAAACATCACAGAAAAAAATCCGGTACAAGGAACCTTCTAGAAGGTTCCGAAAACCGTTGGCCGCACATCAAGTGGGCCGGCCCATGTCTAGTCGCTCGCATAATTCCCCTGTGCGAAATCCCGACAATTCGCCGCAGAGAGCGGCGAATAGGGTTTTCCCTGCTTTATGCCCCCACGAGCTCATTTCGTTGCTTCCTTAGCCCATCACTGATGCACCCTGCAGTGTCTTCAGTTACTTTTACTTATCATAATGTATCAATCCCCTGGAACTCAATGGTTTTGAGGAATATCTTATTGATAATTCGATCGTATTCACGTTGGAACATGTTGATTGGTCTCGTCCTTGGTTCCCGCATGTAAACAAGTTGATTGATTGAGAAAGCTAAGGGTAGGGTGTGTTTGGTTAAAGGTGTGGTATGAATGGGTTGAGACCGTTCAATTATTTTTGGGATTGAACCATTTAATTCATGTGTTTGGCTCAATATAAGAGATGAGCTAATTATTTAGGATGGGACCACCAGTCATGCTCACATGGGCATGCCTGCAAAGGATGGCCATTTGATTCGACCAATTTGGTTGGGTGAAACGGTACAGCATCTTCGCGGCATATTCTTTTTTTTTTGACTCGAACCATTCAAGTAATTTATAACCAAACATGTATATTTTTGGACGATCCCAACCCATCCGTGGCCACCCTTGCAACCAAACGCACCCTAAGAGCATCTCCAATGCCGACCCTCAAATCCTCGCACGCGTACGGATTGTGCGGTCCTGACGTGGTACGTCATCCAATGCGGGCCTATGTAGGTCCGCAGGGCGATCCGGGCGCACTTTCTCCCA